TGGGGTCTCTCGGGAGCCTCTTGGGGGTCTGCCGGGCCCGTCGGGGGCCACTTGGGGCCTCCTGGAGTCCTCTTGGGGTCTCCCAGGGCCTTCTGAAGGCGGATAGCTGTATATTTCAGTCTTCGGTCCCTCTCTTGGGCCTCTCTTGAGGCCTTTTTGGCGGCATTTTGGGCTCTCCTGCGCGCCTCTTGGGCCGTCATTGAGCCCTCTTGGGCCGTCTTGGAGCTCTCTTGGGGGCCTCTTCGGCCGTCTTAGAGCGGTCTTGGGGGCCTCTTGGGCGGTCTTCGAGCGTCGCGAAGCCGACAAAGAGAGACCGCAAAAAACATCAAGCAAAAACCAATGACATTCAACGCTATTTGCCTCTCGGGACCCTCTTGAGAGGCCTCTTGGGGCGTCTTGGAGACCTCTTGGGCCGTCTTTGGTCCAATCTTGGGCGTCTTGGCCCGATCATGGGGCGTCTCGGGGCACCCTTGGGCCGTCTTTGGGGCGTGTTTTTTTTGTGATGGAGAGTCCCTCAAGATCCTCCGCAAGAGACATCGATGTGATTCCACTCAGTGGGGCTGGCAGTCCAGGCAAAAAGCTCGGTCGGGAAAGCCTTCGGGTAAGAGGCGACCCGACACGCCATCCTACCATCTGCACTGGTCGCTCGTTGACGCCATCTCGCAATGTCGCGGAAATGGGGCCGTCTTTTTTCTTTCTGTCCGAAGGCATGAAGCGCGATAGCACTAGCCTGATATCGTCGTTGCATGGCTCCAAGAGAACTCACATGTCGATGCTCATGTCTTCAGAAGGGCCCAGATACAATCCACGGCTTGCTCAAGTGGGGCCCCCTTGGGGCCCTCGTGGGGCCCGTCCCGAGGCCTCCCTGGGCGGAGGAGGAGGAAGAGGAGGAGGAGGAGGCGGAGGAGGAGGAGGAAGAGCGGGAGGAGGAGGAGGGGGAGGAGGAGGAGGAGGAGGAGGAGGAGGAGGAGGAGGCGGAGGAGGCGGGAGGAGGAGGAGGAGGAGGAGGAGAGGAGGAGGAGGAGGAGGAGGAGGAGGAGGAGGAGGAGGGAGGAGGAGGAGGAGGAGGAGGAGGAGGAGGAGGAGGAGGAGGAGGAGGAGGAGGAAGAGGAGGAGGAGGAGGAGGAGGAGGAGGGAGGAGGAGGAGGAGGAGGAGGAGGAGGAGGAGGAGGAGGAGGAGAGAGGAGGAGGAGGAGGAGGAGGAGGAGGAAGAGGAGGAGGAGGCGGAGGAGGAGGGAGGAGGAAGGAGGAGGAGGAGGAGGAGCGGAGGCGGAGGAGAGGAGGAGGAGCGGGAGGAGGAGGAGGAGGAGGAGGAGGAGGAGAGGGAGGAGAGGAGGAGGAGGAGGAGGAGGAGAGGAGGAGGAGGAGGAGAGGAGGAGGAGGAGGAGGAGGAGGAGGAGCGGAGGAGGCGGAGGAGGAGGAGGAGGAGGAGGAGGAGGAGGAGGAGGCGGAGGCCCTCCTGGGGGGGCCCAGGGCCGGCCCGGGGCGGTGTGGAGACTCGCCGGGCCCTGCGCCGTGCTGGCGCGCGGCGCCCCCCGGCGTTGGGAGCGCAGGCCGCGAATGGGGTCCCCAGACCTCCTCGCGTCGCGAAAAAATCACCCTCCTCCTCCTCCTCCTCCGACGGGAAGTTTTTCGCTGTGTTCGGCCTCCGGGGGCCCTTCCCGGGCCTCGCGGGACCGTAACAAAACGACGCGAAGGAGTTCCCAGACCTCCTCGCGTCGTGAAAAAGAATCACGACGGGAGGTTTTTCGCTACGTTCGGCCTCCGGGGGCCCTTCCCGGGCCTCCTCCTCGCGTCGTGAAAAAATCACGATGGGAGGTTTTTCGCTACGTTCGGCCTCCGGGGGGCCCTTCCCGGGCCTCGGGACCGTCGAAAAACGACGCGAAGGAGTTCCCAGATCTCCTCGCGTCGTGAAGAAATCACGACGGGAGGTTTTTCGCTATGTTCGGCCTCCGGGGGCCCTTCCCTGGCCTCGGGACCGTCAAAAAACGACTCAGGACGAAAAGCCGGTCCCGGGGAAAGGGTCCAGGCCTCTGGGGGTCGACGTCGCGAAAAAATCACGACGTCGGGGGTCTGGGTTAGGGGGCCACTTGCGAAGCCTGCCCCTACCCCCCACGATTTCTGAGGGGGAGGGTGGGGCTCACTTCATTCAAGAGCTCCCGAGCGAAGTGGACCCCGCCCTCCCCCTCGGAAATCGTGGGGGGTAGGGGTAGGGCTCGCAAGTGGCCCCCCAAGGGTGAGGACCGCTTGCCTGCTGAATTGCTGTCCTGCTCGCATGGGTGGCACCCTGCTGGCCTGCCAGCTCGTGGGCATGCCCGACGGGTTTGCTTGCCGTGCTCGCCCGTGTCCGCTCGCTGCCGCCTGTTGGCGATTGCTGCAGCCTGCTGCTGCTGCTGCTGCTGCTGCTGCTGCTGCTGCTGCTGCTGCTGCTATCTGCCGCTGCCGTGTGCTGCTGCGTCTCCTGCTTGCTCTGCTTGATCATACCGCCTGCTGCTGTTGGTTGCCGATGCCTGCTGCTGCTGTGGCTGCTCGCTGCTGCTGTTTCCCGCTGGCTGCTCGTGTATGCTGCTTGATGCCGCTGGATCCTGGGGGCCGTACTGGAGCTCCCTTGGACTCTGTTGGGCCCATATTGGCCCTCTGGGGCTGTCTGGTGACGGATCTGCACCCCCCGGGGGGCGGTCCTCTGGGGGCCGATTTGCGAGCCCTCGATCGGCACTGCTGGGCCGTCTACAGTGCTGCGGGCACACAGGCTACGGCCGACTGGAGCCTCGAAAGGCAAAGGCGCGCGGAGGCGCAGCAAGCGCGAGGGTGTGGGGTCGTCTCGTGCCGCCCTTGGAAAAAGGCAGAACGGCATAAGCATAAACTTTTGGCGCTCTGTGCGGATGTCGTGCATCTGCGCCGGGCCGCCCTCCCTGGCGCGCGGGGCGCCCCAGTGGCGGCGCCCGAAGCGCCGCTGGGGGGTCCCACCGCGGATCCAAGAAATCCGCGCGGAGCGCCAAAGGCTTGCGCTCACGCCGTTCTCCCTTCTTCGAGCTCCTGGGGCCGCTCCTGGGGCCGCTCTGGAAGGCCTGCCTGAGGCACTCTGCCGGGCCCTTCCCCTGGGGGCTCTCTCGGGGGGGGGGGGGGGCCCGAACTTTGGGGATGCCTCCGGGGGTGGCTCCGAGGGCCGTGCGCGACATGCCCTGCCCGCGTGGGCAGCCCGCGGCAGGGCGGCTCGGGCCGCGCGAGGCACCGAAGCAGCGAGAGGTGGCCGCTGGTCTGCGCGGTCCCGGGGAGGGAGGCGAGACCTCTGGGGCAGGGCTGAACCTAAACGGTGTTTTTCGTTTTCGTTGTTTTTGTTTTCGTTTTCCCTCGCCTTTGTCTCGAATCCGCCTTTACCTCAAAACGAAGTCGAAACGAAAACGGCCCGTCCGGCCCACAAATCGCCAAAAACACCGTTTAGGTCCAGCCCTGCTCTGGGGGTCGGCGTCATGAAAAAGTCATGGCGCCAGAAGAGGAGGAGGAGGAGGAGCGCACGTAACTCATGAGGGCATGGTTACGTCATCGACTGGCGCAGATGGCCAGCTTAGTGGCACGCAAGAGCCTCAGGTGGGCCTCAAGGTCGCCACAACGGGAGGGCGAGGCCTCATGCTCTGCTTTGAGCGTGTGGTAGAAGTGAAAACCTAGCACGACTAGGCGATGAGTGGTCTCGCGGGTGACCTGCGGATCATAATCAGCATCGAGGCCGAGGCCGAGACGCGCCAGGGGGCATGAGGGGAGGAAGAGCCTCGGACGGGCGAGGAGGAGGAGGAGGAGGAGGAGGAGGAGGAGGAAGTCTTCGATGCCTTCTGGGCCTTCTGGGGAGCCTTCGAAGCCTTCGGGGCA